TGAAAGAAAAAAAAACATATAATAAAACATTTTTAGATGCTGCTAATGTATTTACTTCCAATATTAATGTACAGTGAAAACACATAGTATTATATCTATTCTAGAAACTTGCTAGGAACTTGTTTTTTGCCATTTTTTGTTTCCCAAAGCCATTGGCCTGATGGCTCACACTCCCATCACAGGCTGGCTCGGTTGACGATAGCAGTGATTTTCAGCGTGTAGACGAATGTGCACAGCTGGTAGTACAGGTAAAGCAGGTCAGAGACAAACGTGCCCCACACCCACTTCACCAAATGCTAGAGTGGTGCTGGGTACTTTACAGGTCAATCCAGGGAATCTGTGGGAAATTTCAACCTTTGTTTTTTGCTATGCATGTGTAATGTTACTTGCATTGAAATAATTGCTAATTTTGCTAAATTTGAAACTTATTCCCATGTGTCCTTGGGTGTACTAAGACTATTTTTTCTCATGATTGCCTGTAGGTATTAGTCAATGGTCCCAAAACAATGGACTAAAATTAAAAAAAAAACTTGATGCACTTCTGTGGCTTTTCTTTAGTAGCGAACTTTAAATTTGTCTTGTCTTTACAGTCACCACGATAAGACAACCACCTGGCACGACCCACGTCTCTCACAGCTTCAGTCGCCTGCAGCCCAGCATCCCATCGCTGGGCCTCCACTCCACGCTCACTCCCTCAGCAACCCAGCACAGACCACACAACAACAAAACATCAATCCAGAGACAGGTACTCCGACACACTTCTCTGCTTCATGACCTCGTCCAGACAGTGTTCAGTGTCACCACATGTCACACGAGCGTTCAACGCTAGTCACTTAATGCTGTGTTTAGTGGTTCGAAATCCACTCACTGTCCTTGTCTTTGTAGTGGACAGATCCCCAAGAAGACTGATATGAATTAGAAATGACAGCAGTATCACAGATTTATTTATTGAAATATGTTTTCTTTTTTTTCTCCTTGGAGTTTCGTTTATTTTCTTTTGAAATGTGTCTAGACTGAAAAAATTAGTGAGGCGTGGGTTTTTTCACCAAAGATTGACACTATTGTACTTAAAAGTCGTGTCCTGGATTTGAACAGGAATCTTTTCCTCTAAGTAAATATACTGCTGCTCGACAACCCCAACACAACACGAGTTATGCAGGGATTCGTGGACGTGGGTTGATCTACATCTACATCAACACTCCATGCACTCCATCCACCATTTGCCTTCTCACTGTGTACTTTCACTGCTGTTCAGGTCCACTGCCTGAAGGCTGGGAGCAGGCTGTGACTGCAGATGGAGAGGTGTACTACATCGATCACATAAATAAGTCCACCACATGGGTCGACCCGCGTCTAGGTAGCACACTGTCAAATTTGTGTCTCCACCTCAGATTGACAATTATTGTTTGTCAATGAGAAACATTTCTGTCCATCATCACATCCAATAAAAACAAAGTAAAATATAAACCACAGCAAAGTTTTGACAGAATGTCCTCATACAAATATCACTACTGACTATCACAACTGAAATCTTTTACCTTTTGGATTTACTTTCTCCGTTGTCCAAATGCTCTCTCTCTCTCCTGTGAATTTTATGTTTCAGCACAGAATATGAACCCTGGAATCCTTGGCATGGTGATGCAGCAGAGACAGGAAAAAGAACGGCTCCGATGCAAGCAAGGCCACCCTCCACAGGCCGCACCTCAGGTGAGAAGAGACAGACAGAGTTAGCCCAAATATTTAATTCAAACTGAGTTTTTACAACACTAGCATTTTGACACCTTATAGTTAAGTGCAACTTCCTGATGTTCACGTCCAACTCTTACATGTCGTTTATGTGATGCCCTCTGTAGGAGGTAGGGGGGAGAAACCAGATGTCCGGTGGGATTGACCATGACAGGAACTCACAGACACTTGTCCCAAACTTGGACGTCAGGATCAGATCCTCAAACCATGAACCAACACTTAATGGGTGAGGAATGTTTTATAGAATTGTATATAGTAGTGTTGTTACCTTAGAACAACAGGACTACTGCCATCATTCTAAATCATAATTCATTATTCACTGCACTAGATGTTTTGGAACATTTAAAAACATTTGCTATTATGCACTTGCTGTAAAAAAACAAACAAAAAAAAAACCTAAAATTATAATCTGAACTATCTTCAGGAATTTTTAAAAAATGTGTCCACATTAACTCCACTACACAGCCCCATGTGGTGCTTTGGCGCCCCTTAGTGGTTTCTTAAATGTGCATCTTACCATTAATTTTACGATTTCAAATACAAAACGTCCTTCCTTTATTTGTGTTTTATTTCTTCTGCAGCGCTCACTCACGCAATGAGAGCACAGACAGTGGTCTGAGTGTCAGCAGTTTACCCCGCACATCGGACCACATGTTGAGCTCCGTGGATCACATGGATACTGGTAAAACACACTGATACATTGTCGTCATTCTTTCACTCACTGACATGAGTCATTTCCTAGTTCCGTCTCCAAAACCCAAATTATCCTTTATTCTAAGTTTTTTTTATTTAACGCAGCTCAGCATTTGATGTTTTTAATTAAATTAATTAATTGGGGTCTTTAAATTTTGTCTTCTGTCCTACTGTGTTTAGGCGACTCTGGAGAGAACTCATCGATTACCTTACAGGAGTCCATGCCTGTCATGCCAATGTCTGAGGGCGACGAGTTAATGCCGTGCATTCCCGAGGGTCTCAGTTCGGACCTTCTGATGGACATGGAGACGGTTCTCTCTGGATCACACATGGAGAGAGACAGCCTGCTCACATGGCTATAGACACACTGCCAACACCTACATGATGTTTGACATCAAACACTTATGACAACACTAAGAACATGGAGGATTCTGTTTTTAATTTTTGCCTCTGCAGTGGTATAGATCAACGTTACAGAGAAAATACTGGACTGCTGTGACACTAAGGATTGAGAAGCCGACTCTCACGCACGGTGGTAAGATGCTGGTGCTCCTTGTGGGCTTTGGTTTACACTAGATTGGTTTACACTAGATCCTTCACCCTCACATGATATCTCTGTAATGTTGGTCAAAGTTGTTTTATTATTATTATTATTATTATTATTATTATTATTATTATACCCATACAAGTATTATTTTAAAGCCTGGACCAAGTACCATGCAGTTTAAAGGTTAAAACCCACCTACAGCATTAATAACCAGCCTTGGAAAAACATGGGAAACTACCACTGAGCCTTAATGAAGAGAAAAGCAACAAAAAATATAGTAAACAGGAAAAATCCCCGACTTAATATCCCTCCAGAGCTGTCATGACACGCAGTGTAGAGGACTGTAACACAAAAACAAAACTGCTTCAGAATATGCTGTACCATCTTAAAACAAGCTGGAGAAACAAATAGAAATTAGCACGGTTTATGAATTATTTACAAAACTGGTTTCAGATTTGGTTTCCTAGGGTTTGTGGGATTTCCCAATGTCTGAAGTTTTCCCAAAATGTAGTTTACAGGAACAAGCTTTGCCTTATGGGTTAAACAAATTCAATCAATAATTCAAAAGCACTTAAAGATCAACTGGTTTTACTGCATCTCCACTTAACACTCAAAATGTTGTAAGACAAGTATTTCATTAGAAGACCTCTGTGGTGTGATTATCAGTAATAATCACATATTTAATGTAAACATGTGATCAAAAATCCAACACAATACAGGGTTTCCCCCAGGAAGCTGCAATACTGACACTGATCTGATCTTGTGATCAACTCGGTCAACAAGACCTTTCAAACACTACTCACACTCGTCAGAAAAAGAACAACGTCATATGGTATCAGTTATGTTGTATGTTAATGTAATTTCCATGTCTGCTTGGTAGAAAAGTCACTAAAAAGCCTGTCACGTTGAAGTTACTGATATTCAGTGTTGCTCGGTGCCTTGTTTCAGGTTCTAATCTGCTGGATTAATATATCCATTTAATGTAAGCTTTACAAAGATAGTATTTATTGGAGAATTGATTTAGTAGATGCCATTATATTGCATTTTACTCTTGTATATTAAACACTGGCCTTAGGTTTTGGTAAAAGTCATGTATTCAGTCAAACAAGACTTGAATATTTTTAAGTAAATTGAGATAAATTTCCTTTTTGATAACACCCATCAGGCTCTCTGGCATCACATCTAAAGAACGTCTTCACCTATTCTCAATCTCAGTTTCTCAGAAATAAAGACAATAACAGTTTTAGGTTCTGGTGAAAAACTTTTTACAGCTTTATACCAAATTTATCATTACACTAATCTCTTTCTGATGTTGTTACACACAAAAGGCACTCAACAATATGGAAATCTTTTACTTCTTTTTTGGTCAACTATATTATAACTATATTTAATCTGTGTTTAGCTGACAGTTTTCCAATGCAGTGTGTTAATATATTTTGATTTGAAGCGGTTTTTAAATAATATTTTGTTTCTAACCAGGTGTCTTTGTTTGTATACAGAATATAAAGCTGAAGATGAAAATTACAACATCCCAAAAAAAAAGAAAGCGCTAAAACACTTTAATGGTTTTTAAATTAAAGTACCCTGTAAGAGTACACAACGCAACACACTACCTAGCTTTTTATTAACCGTAGCATGCATGCATGACATATATGTATAATATATATTGTGTTTTTATTATATTTACAGATTTTGTTTTGAAGCAATCAGACTTATTTTGTACCTTTTTATGCATGTGTCTTATATGAATATATATATGTGTTCTTACTCAAATTATAATCATTTTAAAGATGGTTATGTTTAATAAACATTTAAACACACCAGGTCTGGGCTAATTTCTACACGTTTGTTTTGTACTACAAAGATCATCAGCATGACACAATGGCTCCTCCCAGTGGACCTCGGGGGTGACGACAGAGGCGAAGTTATGAAGTGAGTAAAATCCCACACTTTCAGTGAGACACATGGAAGTTTCCAAGCTCACCAGTTCGTCAAATCATCTACGTGTAAGTATACTGCTTTATGAGAATATGTAGTGAATGTAGTTAAATAACATTATGTTGCGAAAATTATAAATACCCATTTCAATAATGAAGTACGTTATTGTTTTTTGAAAAATATCATTTGTTTGGATAATATAATTAGGAAAAGTTGTATTCCTGACTAATGTAACGGTTTCCAACATATTACTAAAAAACATGACGCATTGACAACATGGCTTTTATGTATTTTCAGTATATTATTCTATTTTGATTTTTGTCAAAATGACAACTGCGTAATCTGAATGGAATAAAATATGTAACTTTAATTATTCTTGTTTATAGAGTGTGACTTTATATACCCAGATTTCTTGATTTAGTCCGTCTTTATTGCTGGTAAAGACTGACTAAGCGTTCAGTCAGCATAGCACGTTCGGCTTGGGAATACCTGAGGGATTTCCCTCTACCTGAGCAATAGCTAAGACATGTAAATCATTGGTATATATACGAGTCATAACTGATTCATTCTTTTTACTTTGTTCACCGGAAGTTGGTGGAGACGTCTGCAACCATCCGTTGACAATTTACGTCATTACCGGGACTTTCCGTAGAAAGGCAGTTTGTTTAAACGGTGAGTGATAACACTTGTTTTCTGAACAGTTTAATCTCCGTATGCTGATTAACAGTTAAATTGTGGTTATATTTACACCAGAACTATTTTACAGCCTATCGTTAGACGCTAGCATTGCTAAGCTAACGTCAGTTGACGTAATCGACGTTTGTTTGTGAATGGGGCCTCTGTAAATTTGAAATCTCATAATTAAACTAGTGTTTATTATTTATATGAACAAGACTATTAACTGCCTATTTATGTTTATATATATTTTGTGATAAACCATATACACGAAAGTTGTCTACGAAAGGCTATGTTAAATTGAAATGTCAAACAGGAAGAGGCATGATTGATCAAGGAAAGTACCGAGCAACCCCCAGCTGTTCTTCCCAGTCTTTGTTCGACTTTAATTTAAAGTAATTACCATAAACATCAACAGAACCAAACATAATATATTTTGGTATTTAAACGTCTCCATCCCAATGTTGCCACTAAATAAAAGCGAAGTCACCGACAAGTTACCCCCTAATATTCGTTATGTTTAATAATACATTATATATGAATATATATACATATGTGTGTTGATATCTTTACCTGGGGCTGCTCACAGTAAAATAGACAAATACTGGAGAGAATATAATCTTCTTTGAAGAGGAATCCCAGATAGATAATAAAAACTGAAATTACTTATGTTCAACAACAATAAAATATTTTATCATACACACACTGAATTTGTATGATTTTTTTCAATTTGATATATTTTAAGAATGACAAAAAATGAAAAAACAATGCCATTCCTGTTTGACACAATATGGTTCTTATTATTATCAATATTCTCAATATTGTCTGCTTTTGTAAAATGTCTACAGGTGCTGCCAGTCTACAACCAAAAGGGAGGTCCTTTGTCCCTTCAAAAAGAGGAAAAGGTTTTTCTTATTAGGTTTTAACTGTTCAAAAATGGAGGCTTAGACTCCAACAAAAGGGGTGTCCAAAATGGGGGGAGGGGTTTGAGAACAAATGTCTATTGTCTGTGTGTATGTGTGCATAGTTAGTTACATTTAGTTACATTTTCTTTTAAAAATGTTTAGTTTGAAATTGTCAACTGATATTATGTGTGCCAAAAGAGTAAAAAACACGGACCCTGGGTGATCCATGTTTTAGGTTGCAGTTTTTTACAGAATGTGTTCAGATATTCCAGTGTTTTAAAAAGCATTGGATTTGTTCATATCCACAATGCTGTTCCGGCTAGGGGCATCTGGAAATAAGTCTAGGGAGAGAATGAGAGGTTGTAGAGCAGGCATGTCCAAACTATTCCTCAAAGAGCAGTGTGGCTGCAGGTTTTTGTTGACCGATCAGCTGTCTGAAGACTAACATCAGTTGATTAAAACCCGTCAACTCAGGCTACTGCTTGGTTGAAACAAAAACCTGCAGCCACAGTTGTGGAACAGTTTGGGCACCCCTGTTGTAGGGCAATGAGGCTGTGAGGTCATTGTGGTGTCATCATGGTAACTAGGCTGTTAGTTTTGTTTCTTCCATATAAGTGCTTTAAGTTTCATTCTTGCTTCGGCCTCTCTTTCAGTTTTTGACTTCAGCTTTAAACCTACCCCTTCACAGCTTTTTTTTTTCTATTGGGTATGAATGCGTGCATGTGTGATAAAGCAGACAAGACATTGGGCTTTCTCAAACCTCTCTCCTTTTGAAGGACATCACTTTTTTCTCTTTTTGCTATACTTAAATCTGAAAATGGAAACACTTCTTAAACTTAAAAACAACCAGTTTTTAATGGGTCTGTGTCGTAACGGGCCTCCACCTGATCTACAATATGACAACTCTTCAGGTAGCACAGATTTTTTTTTTATTTAAATCTTGATCATGTATGTGCTTTTATCACAAATTTCATGAATATGCAATTTGCTTTTCTTTTTCAGAGCTCTTTCGCATCTCTACTTTTGCCCGTTTTCCAGCTTCTGGAGTTACAGAACGAAGCCTAGCAAGAGCTGGTTGGTTTTATACTGGCATCGGGGACCGGGTACAGTGTTTCAGGTGTAATGTGACTGCGGATGGCTGGCAGACTGGGGACTGTCCTACAGAAAGACACAGACAGGTGTCTCCAAATTGCTCCTTCATCCAGAGCCTCCCATCAACTGCCAACCTGCTCTCTTCTTCTCACTCAGCCTTCTCCCCTCTACGCATTGCTCCTGCCATCCCAGTATGTTTTTGTTTATTTGTATGTCCCATAGATATTTAGGTATCAGTCAGTCATTCAGCCAATTAATCAAACAGCCATAAAATAACCCAGTGTATCAGATAATGATTGTTCTAATGTCATCTTATAGAAAGAGGAAAAGTATTTTCATTCTTTTTACCTTGTGCGTCTCTTCTCTTAGCTGTCTGGTCCAGGCCCGGCTGCTCCTAACCAGAGTGGCCCAGGTGAGGACCCAGTTGGATACCTGAATATGGGTTTCTCTGCTCCACTGCCATCCAGCCCACTAAGCTCCCGTGGTGTAGAAGACATGTCCCATCAGAGACCAACGTGCCATAACCCCAGCATGAGGCGAGAGCAAGATCGTCTGGACTCCTTCCACTCATGGACTCTGTCCATCATCACTCCTGCAGAGCTTGCCAAGGCTGGGTTCTACTATTTAGGCCAGGGCGACCGTGTGGCCTGCTTCAGCTGTGGAGGACAGGTGAGCATATCACAGTGACTATAGAATAGATTTCTGTTAAATGTTCACAGTAGGCATAAAACATTTTAGCTGACACAGAAATATCAGAAAGTCAGTGAAGTGAGCTTTTGACGTTGGTAATACTGATGTGTTTTTACCTGTGTTCCACATTTTCAGCTGAGTAACTGGGAGCCAGGCGACAGAGCTGTATCAGAACACCAAAGACATTATCCAAACTGTCGTTTTGTGCGAGGGGATAGAGCTGACAACGTTTCTCTGGCAGGAGTGGCAGGAGCTGCTATTGGTGCAGTAAACTCCCAACTGTCTGCAGGAGGACCTGCTCTCAATAATGTCTCCAATCCTGCCATGCAGCAGAGCGAGGAGCGGCTGCTCACCTTTGTCCACTGGCCATCACGTATACCTGTGCGGCCTGATCAGCTGGCTAAAGCCGGATTCTACTACGTAGGTAGGATCAATATAAGTGATACTTATGTCGGTGACTGTAAAACAGAACTTAAGTGTTAAAATGTTTTGTCCATGGGTTAAAAAATACCAGTATTTGTCCTAAGTATTTCATTGACCCACAAAAATGTTTGTACACTGTACAGGGCTTAATTCCCTTAAAAACATGCTATAATACATCCTATTAAAAACATGGGAACATGTTTTAATATTGCTTAAAAAACAGTTGTGACTTGATCTGTATTTTAACATAAATCTTAACTGTCATGCTGTACTCTAGAGTTTACTCATAATATGCAGATTTCTTTTCTTCTACCCCCTTAGCAGTAAATGTTTTTCCCCACTGGGGAAACACTGCCGACAGCTATTTTGTTTGGAAAGTCCAAAAACTTAGCTACTAATGAGTCTTATGTAAAAGTACCAAACATCTTAACAAAAATATTTTTGAATAGAAAGACAAATTTAAAGAAAATTATGTTTCTCAGAATGACTGTTTATTGTATTTTAAAAAAGAAATACAACAACAGCCACCTGTTTCAGCACAATGTCTCTCTGTGGCTTCAAGGTCGAAATGATGATGTCAAATGTTTCTGCTGTGACGGAGGACTTCGGTGCTGGGAGTCCGGAGACGATCCTTGGGTGGAACATGCCAAGTGGTTTCCTCGGTTAGCACTGCTTTTTATATTTTTGAAGACAATAACAATGTTTAAACCATTAGGGAACATAAGTTCTTAAACTTCACCCAACAAACCTGAACTGATGTGTGTTTTGATTTCAGGTGTGAATATTTGCTTCAGGAGAAAGGACAAGATTTTGTCCACCAGATCCAAGCCCGTTTTCCTCGTCTGTTTGAGCAGGTGAGTTGAGAGCGACAGGAATAGTTCTTTTGACAGGAATAGCTCTTAAAGGGCATTTAGTTGCTTTTTAAAATTCTCACCTAAAATACTGTTTCTGTCTTGACTCTTAAGCTTCTAACAAATGGAGACAGCAGCTCCAGGGAGTTTGTAGATCCTCCTGGTGAGTATGAATGAATTTGAAATAAGACATTTATTGGAAGGAGGACATATGCAACAATTTAGAAACAGGAACAAGACATGTTAGTTTTAATTGTATTGGGAAGAACAAGAAAATGATAAATACGTAATGTTACCTGATGTGATGTGTCCACTTTCTTCTCAGTTGTTCACCTGGGTCCTGGAGAAGAGAGATCTGAAGATGCTGTTATGATGAACACCCCTGTCATCAAGTCAGCATTAGAGATGGGCTTTGAGAGAAGCTTAGTCAAGCAAACTGTACAGAGCAAGATCCTGACGAGTGGAGAAAACTACAGAACTGTCCAGGAACTGGTTTCAGATCTGCTCAGTGCTGAAGACCAGAAAAGGGAAGAGGAACGTGAGATGCTGGCAGAGGCCATGGCATCAGGTACCTGAAGTTACATCATTTCCTGTCTCAGCTGTTCTAATCTTGTTTTAGCCATGTATGTTGCACTAAAGTACTTTTTTTGTTCCAGACGGGTTCACATTTGTGAAGAGACATCAGGCAGCATTGATCCAACGGCTGAAGAGTGTAGAGCCAGTGTTGGAGCACTTGAGAGAGCAAAATGTTTTATGTAAGTGACTTTACTTTACATTACTGTCAAGAAGTGTTTTAAACACTACAGCTAGTTTAGATCTTACTTATAAAAACCTTATTTTGGACCACCTCTTCCCTGTTTACCTTTAGCTGCAGAAGAGTACAGCGGTCTTCAAGCTCAGACAACACCACAACAGCAAACAGCCAGATTGATAGAGTTGGTCCTCACCAAGGGCAACGCTGCGGCAGAGGTGTTCCGCAACTGGATCCAGAAAAATGATGTTCACCTGCTCCGAGATCTGATGGGTAATTATACCATTCACTAGAGAAAATTAAGAACCAGACACCTTCTATATTGACAACATATTATTTAACATGAAATTTAAACAGGACAGTTACACCACTAATGCTATAGTCCACGTTACTTACATTTATTTCAAACCCAAACTTCACACCAAGACTGTTTCCCTTTAAAGAAAGCCCCCTGTAATATGGGAAATAATAATAATAAAATAAAATAAACAACAAAGGGATAAATTCTTGAAAAAACTGAACCACTATCACATAGTGACACTCGAGAAAGATTTACAATTAGATGGTGTAACAGTCTTAAGACAATGTGAATGAATCATACATAAAGGCCTGTGCTAAATAAACAATGTCTTTTGTATTTTTTTTTTAGCCCAGTCAAATGAGGCAACATCACCAAGCCAAGACATTTCAGGTATGAAAACTGTTAAAAGCCTTAGAACACATGTCCACTCTTAACATTTTAATAGTAGGTTTACGTATGTTCTGGTGATACAGGTCATTTAAAATGATCTTGATGACTGAGAACTTACATAGAGACATAGCTACTCACTTTGGAAGTGAATCTCTTCGACACCTAGGGGAACATAAAAGGATGTTTAATCTGATATGCCAACAACAGGACATCATCACTACCAGCCATCTGCTTGGGTTCAGGACACTGGTCTGAAATAATCCTAGAAAAGATGCCAAACCATTGTCTCTGACAGAATTAAGCCTTTTGGATGAGAGGCGAAAGGACTGCAACAAAACAAGAGCCCAGTTACCCATTTTCAATAGTTACGTGACACGGGTTCTTTTTTTTCCTCTACAGACCTTCCAATGGAGGAACAGCTGCGACGATTACAGGAGGAACGTACCTGTAAAGTGTGTATGGACAAGGAAGTCAACATAGTCTTCATCCCCTGCGGACATCTGGTCGTGTGTAAAGAATGTGCACCGTCACTGAGAAAGTGCCCAATCTGCAGAGGTTTGGTTAAAGGTACAGTTCGAACGTTTCTCTCATAAGCAGCAAGTTGAGAGATGATTCTTCAGTCACAGGACTGGAACTGAATGTAAGCAATACTTAAAAGATTACAATTCAACATGTTCAAATGACAGGTCAATCTTGCGTTCAAGATGATGCCAAATACTGTAACACATTTTGTGTAACTGTGAAAGTCGTACTGTTAAACATAACGATTGTCTAAATGTGGTAAATAAACACATTAAAGTTCAGAGCAATTACCTGTAAAAGCGATCAATAAAAAAAAGCAAACTTTAAGTGGAATGTTGTTATCTGTTGTGATAAGTTGTTACTAAGCTAAAAATATTTTTTCCTTATTTTGAAGCACTAAATGGTAAGTATTCATCATACAAAAGAGGTTTATCTTTGAAATTCTAACCAACCTCAGACTACCGAGTCGTCACCCAGGAAAAACGTAAAGACAAAATTGTTGCCTTTTCAGGTTTAAGTCCCTTGCATTTGACTTATTTAGTGTTGCCTAAAGTAAAGACAACATGTTCTCAATAACATTACTTTTTTAAAGAATATTAACAAATACGGCAGCACACAATCAGATTTAATTTATACAAATTTATTATTCCACAAGTGTCTTTAGCCACAGTTTAGATGATGCCAATCTGAAAGAAAAAAAAAAAAAATTACAAAGAGTTCATCGCCATGGTAAAGGACTGTGTCTGCATTTAGTGGCATCAGTGGTTCCTTTGAATGCTTCACTGACATTCAGTTGAAAATAAAGTTTACATCACTTGCACGTCTGACAAAGCAGATACAATTTAGATAACATGCAACCGCTGAGTTAACATACCTTGTTTGCAACATCCAGCGCATCGTAGTCTGGTGCGAGACGAACGTACGCTTTCTTCTCACCATCAGGCCTGAACACAAAACAGTCTGCATGATACAACTGTACAACAAATAACACTACCTGCGATATAGCATTTATGTTGAATGAGTAGTCAGTGACAAATTATAACCAACTGTCTATAGATTTAAGTTAACATGTACACAAAAACACTAGCTGCACAAACAAGCTGTATTTTCAACAAGCATTTGTCAAAATTGAATGCAAAAACTGATTTCTTACAGTGCATAGACTCATCTTCAATGTCTCACTCTCTCTTTACATTACTATTAAACGTGTCCAAATGTCATGCCAAGAAAATAGGGTTCTATAGAGCTAGTCAGGTCTCACCTGATGAGTGTGTTGACTTTGGCGACATCGATATCGTACAGCTTCTTGACAGCATGTTTAATCTGATGTTTGTTTGCCTTGACATCCACAATGAATACAAGTGTGTTGTTGTCTTCAATTTTCTTCATAGCAGACTCTGTCGTCAAGGGGAACTTGATGATGGCATAGTGATCCAACCTAAAGAAACATGTTTTGTATCAAGTCTCCATTTCTCCATATTAATCCATTCTACATTAAATACTAGATATTTTGACTTTAGTGCATCAGTGAATATAAGTTGGAATCATTCTTTTCATACTTTGATCGCTATTACCATCATATGCACCAGGTTTATTCATTTTGTTAGCATTCATTTTATGTAACTCACTTGTTCCTGCGAGGAGCACTCTTGCGAGGATACTTGGGCTGCCTGCGAAGACGAAGGGTTTTGGGGCGACGGAAGGTAGGAGAAGTCCTGATTTTCTTCTTCCTCTGGCTGTGGACGCCTTTAAGCACAGCCTTCTTGGCCTTCAGAGCCTTAGACTTCGCCTCAGTCTTGGCAGGGACAACTAGGGTTAAGAAGTGGCAGTTAAATTGTTATGAATTACAAGTGACAGTTGTAATAAAAATAATATATATATATATATATATATATATATATCATCATAACTATATAGCAAAACAAAAATCACCAGAGAAGATCTAAACATCCCAAGCAAAAAACGTGCAAAGAAGAAAACGCCTGTCAAATACAGAGTTGATTCAGCTTTGTTCTTAGTGTCTAACGCAGCCAAAGTTAAACCAAAAACGAAAACCCTAAAATTGAATTTGACACTGCAGTCATCGGCTTTAATCACATATTAAACCATACACGAAAGTTGTCATGATGAATGAGGCCTTAAGCCACAAAAATAATTGAAAACCAGAGCACATGTTTGAGAAACCCGTAGCTTAACTGTCTAACAAGTAAAGAATAAACTACAAAGCAAAAATATCGGTGCATATTTTAATCACCTATCAGTACTGACAACGGTGACTTGTCACGCTTAGTTCAAACCGTTTAAGAAGTGGCTAGGGCAACTGAACATATTGATAGCATTGCTTTAGCATTTAGAATAACCTTATTTAACAATTAAATTGCATGAGTAATATTATTGTACTTGCACCATACAACCATGACAACAGTGTAGTGTAATTTCATAAACAACACAACATAGTATAAGATGATTAAATACTATGAGATACGAAAGGCTTTCACGTGTCAGCTACCGCATCGTTTCGTACGGACGACAAAACAAGGCTACCTGCTTACCTTAACTGTACGAGACATTAGGCGGTTGGAATAAACACTCATACGGCACTATATTAACGACAAAGCCTTGTGATAGCCTTAATTTTACAAATGAGCGACAGTTTTGGTTGCATCATTAAGTGAGACATGCTAACGTTAGCCTAGCATCACGTTCTTACGTACAAGCCGGGATCGGGGTGTATAATGTACGCATTTTAAACCGTTTATTAAAAACAATTGGTTAATCTTAAGTACTCTCATTGTATTGTTGTCGTTTGTGGATGTCCATAGCTTTTAGTATGAGCTTCACATGAAATAATTACAGTTTTTTCATTAAAAAACTATAAGATTCACAAACCTTCCTTCTTCACCTTCGGTGCCATGTTGAGAAAGGAAGACTGTTCGGGGTTTCTCGCAGTATAAAGCACGGGCGAGATCTCATGCCAAATGTATCGCGATAGCACCAGAACCATGTTAGGACATTCGAGTGTTGCCAGTTTTAAACAGTTTTATCTAAAACACTGTATTTTACTTTGAGAAAATGGTCACATATACACATAAAGCAGCTATATTATTATTTATTCATACAATTCCAAAGCGCTATGGTTTTTAAATATATCCGTTCTGTTATTTATATTATTTTATAAGATCTCACAAAATAGAAATGCATTACAAAGAAATTTAAATTTTAAAAAAAGTTTAAAAATATTTGTTTAATTTGAAAATGAGTCATTATATACTGGTTGGTTACAGTAACTGTATAACTTGCTTTCTCCCTAAATTAACAAGTCCATTGTCTGTTATTTAACCACTACAATATTTAAAGGATTTACTTAAATGTGTTATCTGAAAGTCTTCAGTTGCAGAAGAAAAACTAAAGCAATCTTTAGTATAAATCCATTTATTTTATATGCAGATATGCAAAGGACATACTAGAAAGTGGGCAGTTTACAGAGCCATATAAAATACTAAAACAAACTGATGAAATCATCAGTTCTTCTTGGATCAATTGCTCTGTTTCTCTTGCTTCTTTTTCATCACTACCTTCCTTGAAAGAACAGGAAAAATAAAAAGTATTTTAAATAACAAACACTGGTTAAAAACAATAAAGGTATACAATGTTTGGACATTAGCATAAAATCCAGGATCTTACTTTTTAATCTTTGCTCCAGAGGATTTCTGTCCTGATTCCTGTAACACTTTCTTGTGCATTTTTGTTCCCATTTCCTTTTGTGTTTTATGTCCTCTTTTAACTCCCTGTGTTTTTGTCTTCTTTTCACCACTCTGCTCTCCATCTGTTGCCTTCGTCTGTTCTTTCTCTCCATGTGTCTTGATCTTCTTCTTCATTAAGAAGCGAGGCGTTGTGCAAATGGTGCTTCTATTTGGAGGCTTCTTCTCAAGTCTCTGCCTCACTTTGCTGAAAAGCAAATAGTTGAATATTTAATGAATAGCCTGATTAGCACTGGGACTTAAAAAAACAGACTCTTGAGGTTTCAAAATAGTTCAAGAAGGGCCCAACAGACATTAGACAGAGACAAAATAATAATATATTAACAATATTAGAAATTATCCATGCTCAACATTATTTCCCCTCTGTTTTACCTGTGTGTCTTCTTGAAGCCAGTCATGTAATCAGGAACAGGGCAGCCAGCTTGTTTGATGACATTAGCAATGCTACAGCATAAGAATGCACAATAATGGATTCATTAAAAATAATATTGAAAAAGATGAAAATACATGAAATCTGTACAACTTAATCATTAAATCTTTGAAGCTGAGTTCCCAAACATCTGAAAATTTTTCTCTTCATACTTTGATTGTGATTCCTTGTACAGTACCTGCGCAGCATTGGTTTATCATTTTCTGTGAAGAAGGTAATTGCTCTCCCCTCATGTCCAGCTCGGCCTGTGCGACCTGTTGGAACAACAAACAGAAAAACAAGTGAGGAGATGAAGACCAAATGGGGAAAAGTTGACAAAATATGTGGATGCTAAAAAAGCCACAGTTTTACTGAAGAGGGGCAGATTTCTATAACACATATATTTTTTAAATTAATTACTTTTATATACAATTTTAAAACTTGCAGATGATGCAAGAAAGTTAGACTGACCAATACGATGGATGTATTCTACTGCGCTGGTGGGGAAGTCATAGTTCAGGACGATGTTGACTCCTTTGAAATCAATTCCTCTGGCCAGCAGAGCCGTGCAGATCAACACCCAAATTTTACCAGAGCGGAAACTGTTCACAACATTGTCTCGCTGGAGCAGAAGACACACACAAAGAAGATGATGAAATACTGAAAAAGTATGATTAAGTATTCAACAACTCTAGTCCACTAAAAAGAGTAAAAACATTTTATAGCACTATAATGAAGGCATCAAGGTTTGGAGATTAGCATATGACAACTGGACATAGGAAATACTTCTTGTGACAGGCACACTTATTCAACACTTTTTTGGTGTGAATTAACAGTGTAAAACTAGTTCAGAAAGTGCAACCGTGCCTATGTGAAACAGTGTAATACAGGGCTGAGTGCAGGTGTGCTTTCATACCTGCTGCTGTGTCCGATCTGCGTGGATCACTTCTACGTTGATTCCCTCGTAGACCAGCTCATGGAACAGCTCACGTGCTCGTTCTTTTGACTGAACAAACACCAGCATGGGAGGAAGAAAACCCTGAAATGCCACAAAGCATACATTCCTTCATTTGACATCACATGTAAATTATACCATGTGATAATACACATGATCAGCCATGACAAAAAACAAGTCAGTGAAACAACTTCTCTACCTTTTTAATTATGTCCCTCATGGCCACCAGTTTGCCGTTCTCTGTACCAACAAACAGCAGTTCCTGTTTCACCGTGTCCACAGCCGTATTCCTGAGGTGACAATACAACCATTTGTCTTATACAATTCTTAAAAACACCTCACAAATCAATCCAGAGACTGTTGCAGGGCGATTTATTTACCTGTGTCCGATGTTTACAGACACCAGGTTGTCCAGGTTCAGTCGGCACCACTGATCTACATCTAGAGTACAGGTGGCGCTGAAGAAAGCTCTGCGTACCTTCGACCCAGAACAGGCCAGAAACACTGCAGCCAGCTGCTCCCTGAAGCCTGTTTTACCATCTTCAAACAGCTTATCAGACTCATCCACCACCAACCACTCCACACTGTAACAATGCAAGATAAGCAATAAATACAAGGAGTTCTTTTAACATCAGTGAATCTGGGGGAAATAAAAAACAAATCAACTCCTACCGGCTGAGGTCGAGAGCTGGAGGATCCTGATTTAGAAGGAAGACGAGTCTGTTGGGTGTACTGACTAGTATGTCTGTGCATCAAAACACAGGATGAGAACTGTGAGGAACAGCAATAACTTTCACCTCTTCTGTATACATTTTTTGCTTTCTCACCATATTTTTTGCTTGACTGTGGTCCATATTTCTTGGCTGCCAGAGAAGCTTTGTCAATGATGTGGACTCTAAAGCCAACTCCCTCTGAGAGACGCACCAGCTCTCTGTATGTCTGAACACAACACAATTTCCTTGAATGTCAATTGTGAAAACCTGAAAAAACCCAAATATTTACAAAAATACCCAAGGTCTTTACACCAGGGAGACCATGATGGAATGTGTGTGTACCTGACTGGCCAGTTCTCTAGTCGGGGAGATGATCACAGCTCTAAAGCCCAGGTTTGCTGGCTGCTGCAGGTGAGCGAGCAGTGGAAGACAAAACGCCAATGTCTTCCCTGACCCTGTAGGAGCGCAGGCCAGGAGTTCACGGCCCTGAGACAAAAACGAATGTCATAAGAAATCCACCGCCTGTGTACTGTATACAAAATAAGATGTGTGGATTTATACTCACATGCATCATCAGTGGTATTGCCTGCATCTGTATCGGCGTTGGAGAGCTCATCCCTGCGTCTGTCAGGTTCTGAAGGATACGAGGGTTGAGGCGATACTCAGACTGTAGATCCTCAAATGTACAGACGGGGTCGGGAATGTCAGAGCCGTGGACATTTATACGGTGTTGTGAGCGAATATGGTTAACCTAAAAAAAAAAAAAAAGATTTAGAAACAGCCTCACTAAAAACATGTTGTACATGTCCATATTTCAAAGCTTAGTTTTCTACCAGGCTCTTTAAGTCATTTTGAGGTAAGAACCTTTGTTTGATGCTCCTGCTTAAGCCTTTTCAACGTTTTTTTCTCATTCTTATCCCCTGGAAGGTTTTGAATTTTTCTTTCCAGTGAAGACGTCCAAGTGATGCCACTTCCATCTGTGTTTTTTAAAGTTGATTCCTCAGCTGTAGACAAACAGAGGTTGGTTTAAAGTGACAGGCTGAGCTCAGCTGAGGCTTAAACAGCAATCTACGTTCATTAGTTTGACACAGAACTTTTGTTTAACATTTGATTAACCTTCTGCTTCTTTTTTTTTTATTTTTTTCCTCTTCTTCTTAATTCCACTCTCTTCTTTTCGCCTCCTTTTGAGTCCTGCACCAGAATCATCGCTGTCACTCTCCTCCTCCTGTCGGTCCGTTACTTTCTCCTCCTCCTTTTCCTTCTCCAGTCCACAACTCTTGCTCTGGGCTCCATTAGCTGCGCCTTTGCTGAAATAATCGATTGCCAAATGTCGATCTGAGGACGAGTCCTCTCCGTGAGTTTTGACAACCTAAAAGATTAGGCACAATGAAAGCCCGTGACTACAAATACTTTACTTTTCTGTTGTGCGAAGAAATAACAATCACTAACACATTAGTATTATTAGTCACATACGTTCAAAATACAGGCAATGTGGAGCCCTTCACGTTATTACGGACATGGTTTAGCCCAAACATACTAGCTTGAGCTACAGCTCGTAAACGCCATTTTCAGTAATATTCTCTGATAAATATTTGTTTTATTTACCTTAAACCGAGCGGCATCTTGTCCAAACCTCTTCAGATCAAATTTAGCTCCAGCTCCGAGTTTTCTAAACAACTCGAAGGCGTCCATTTCAACAGCAGCGTGGTCTTCCTTCCGAGCCAGGCATTACAAATCAACACGGATCTTATCGTAAAAGAAAGCATCGCCCTCTAACGGCCGTAGTTGGCATAGCTGGTGGTTGCGACTTCACTAGGGCCTAGTCTACTGTAGATAGAAACAAAACAATCCCAAAACTACTGTCATTCGCATTGATTTTTGCCCAATAGCGGATCACTTTATCTTATAATACAGCCTAATTTCCCAATTAAACAATTAAGATGATAGACAATGACCACTCATTCGTCGTCGCACTGACATTTTAAATCTAATCTATATCAGCCCTTCTTCTCTCTTTAGGCAATCGTTCATTATAAAAAATTGTGATCAACAGAAGCCTAGGAACTAAAGGAGTGAGTCGAGGATCATTAGGAAAGGTTTTATTGACTATCAAAGTCAGAAGCAGCATCATTTGACATACAAACCATGAAATTTAAAAATTCCATCAATGCACTTTTACCCCTCTTTGGGCAGCTAAGGACTTGGTTCAGTTCTTATTTGCAGTCTTAAGTATTCAATCAGACTAGTGTGTTAAACATATATATTTTGGCATGGCAATAATAAATCAATATATTGACCGACATTGATTTCTGTCAAACATTACAATGGTAATGTTAAATACAATAATAAGAAAATGTGTTAAAAAAAGTGCTAAAATCATGATGAAATATTTCAATAATAAACAAAACATTTAATTCACTTTTAATATTTAATTTCTTTAAGATGTGGTTATTTTCTGTTGAGAAATGTAATATATAGTTTATAATATATAAGTATGCGAGTCCTGTGATTCACAAAGATTTGGACAGTGATGCTGGAGAGAGAATGCTGGATAGAAAGGCCACTGCAAAGTTAGAGGTGAGAATACGTTTTCATTTGAACTTCTGCCACTGCTCTTATCACTGTAACAGTGATCATGTGACTATAGCTCTTCACAGGTCTTCATCAAGTCTTCAAAAAACTCAACAACCTCTCCTTTAGCCCTCTCCTCTCTTTCTTTTCCTTCTTCTTCAGGTTTCAACACCTTCAGTCTGTTGAGAGTCAGCAGCAGGCTCTCTATTCTGTGCTGAGGGTTCATATGGTTCCCCACTGTGTCTTTCTCTCCCTCCACCCCTCCCCCTTCTCCTCCTGCTTCCACTGATTTCAGATATTTGATCAAATGCTGTCTGATGCTTCTTCCCTCCTCACCGGCCAACGATGCTGCAAGGAAGGGCATATCCTGAGATTGGCTGATGCTGAGCAGGTGCAGTAGAGCTTGTGACAGCGTGTGTCGAAGGCTGGCACTGTAGCGGTATTCTAAAAAGTCATTTGTGTCTTCGCTGTTCTCCAGAGCTGTGGCCAGGGAATGCCAGACACAGCTAAACCGATTAGTGTCCCCATAGCACTCGCGGCGCGCCGGAACAGCCAAGGCAGCAGCTGATCGGATTCGCACTTTGAAGTTCTTACAGGATGTGACGACGTGGCAGAGGGCAGAGAACACATCACTCGACCACAGGGCGGAGTCTG